AAGTATTTTCTACAAAAAAAAATAATTCAAAAACATAATAAATCTAAAACTAAGAAAATGACATAAAGGGATTTAAATTCGAGTCTAGATAGAAGAAAAGTCTTGCAAACCAACTCTACTAACAGAAACTTATGTCTTCATTGTAATTCAAATATATATGATGGGACATAACAAATTAATATAGTGGCACACAACAAATTTACACTACAACGGAGGGGGAAAAAGGCAGGCGTGTTCCACCTATGACACCCCTCGGCTCTGGGTCCCTCCTTTATGTACAGATCCAGACCGTTACTTAAGCTATTAATCATCAATTATCAAACATCTTTTAAATATATATGATTTTGCATGCTATTAACATAAAAAAAATGGTAAATGTGATGCTTTTAGTTAAATATTAAAAGAACAACATAAAACTCATTTAATTGCTTTAATGTTTGCCATTTTTGTTTAATGTTAAAAAAGAAACAAGATTCCAATTAGTTGTTTTAAAAGTAAATATAATCACTTTAACAATTCCACTTATGTTTTCACATTTTACACAAATATTTGATTAAAAAAATTAATTAAATGCATTTTTATAACAATTATAAATTAATTTTAGATCTGAATCTTTAATCACTTTCAATCTCATATTTATCTGTGAATTGATGTTATTAATGAAATTTTCCATTTTCTTGAGTCATATAAATTGGTTTTTTCAGAAAACAATATTTTTTTTGATTAACCTGGATATCCAACTCGCTATGTGAGCCGACTAATCCCATGACGACTACCTGCTTTGTAGATAGCCCGGAGTCACCGCATTTGAACCTCCGTGGCTACAAGGAGATTTTTGTTCTTTCTTGGATTTGAACATGGGACCTCTTAATATTTTTGAGATTTAGAGTCAAGATCAAACCAATCAAATACCACCCTCTTGGTTAAAAAAAATAAGATTATAAACTTTAGAAATGCAAGTGGGTGTTTGAATCTTGCAAACACTTATATTTAATGATTCGCACACTTGTGTTTTTACCATATTCCAATAAAAATGATTATTAATGATAAGATCACATGCGTCGTACATGATTTTGAATTTATTATAGTATAATTTACCTACTTTAATTTGATTCTTATTTTAGATAACGTATTTTAAATTTTTATTTTGATATATAAGATATAAAATTTTAAACATTTAAGTACCTTAATAACCAGTGAAAACATTAACCTGTTACCATGCTGATGTGGCGAGTGATGTGGTAATTATCTCAATATTATTTGCTGACATGGATATCTTAATCTAACCGGTTAACGCTTTAACATGTTTAATCCGTTAATGCTTCAACCAGTTACCCTGATACTTAAACGTTTAAAACTTTACATCTTAGATTCCAAAACAAAAGTTTTGAAAGTACATTACCCAAAATATGAATAAAGTTAAAGTACGTTATTTTCATATTCATTTTCATATTTTCATCATTTTAAAATTACCTAAATAATTCCGAAAAAAGAAAGTCATGCAATCGGTTTAGGACAAAACAAACCACTCGTTTAACATAGATAATGTATTTGAATTAACTTAAAAGCCCTTTTTTTAAACGTTAACCATATATATGGATGCCCTATTTATCGAAGGATGTAACGGCTTAGAATGTATGTTTATATTGTTGGACAACATCAAAAATAAACTTTCAAACATCGAACACGAGACTTAAATATAAGACTTGTATTAAACATCACATCTAACTAAATAAATCAACAATTTTTTTGGGAATATATAATATTTTTACACAGTTTTTTTTTAATTAACCTGGATATCCAACCCGCTATGCGAGCCGACTAATCCCAGGACGACTACCTGTTTTGCAGATAGCCTGGAGTCACCGCATTTGAACATTCGTGGTCACAAGGGGATTTTTATTCTTCCTTGGATTTGAACCTGAGACCTCCTGATACTTTTGACCTTTTGACCCAAGTTCAAACCAATCAGGCACCACCTTTGTGATTTTCAACACACTTGTATTTGAGTAAATTATGTTTCTTTGCCTTTTTGGTTTGTTAAAATTTGTAATTTTCATCCAATGGTTTAGAAATTACGGTTTTTGTCCCTAAGATTTGTAACTCGTTGCTATTTTCGTCTTTATGGTTTATAAATTATTGTTGTATTGGTCCTTGTGGTTTACCATTCTTTACTGTTTTGGTCTCTTGTACTTTAAAGATAGAAATTAGTCTAGATACAGAAATAACAATAAATAGCAGTAAATTGCAAACTATAAAGACCAAAATCACAAATTCTAATATATAAGGACAAAAATCAACATTATTAACAAACCTCATAGATGAAAATCGTAATTTACACCGTATAATTATCTGATGAAAAGGGTATTTTCGTATTAAACCAGTATTTTGGGCTGCTATAGTTTAGTATTATACCCCTATATGAAATGGGCCAATTAGCCCAGTTTTAAAAAGGGCCATCAATAGGTTTCCAAACCCACGAGCCCAAAAAGGGATTTAAATTGTTTCGAAAAATAAAAGTGGGTTATCCAAATTCTTATTTGAATTTATTAGTACCAAATCACAATTTTTTTATTAACATGGATATCCAATCCACTATGCGAGCTAACTAATCCCAAAATGACCACTTGCTTTGCAGATAGTCCGAAGTCACCGCATTTGAACCTCTGTGGCCACAAGGGGATTTTTATTCCTCATTGGATTTGAACCTGAGACCTCCTGATACTTTTGACCTTTGAAGTCAAGCTCAAACCAATCAGGCACTACCCTTGTTGTTCCAAATCACAGATTTGGTACACGTGTTTTGTCCCTACATTTTTTAAGTTATAGATTATTATCAGGGTTTATAAAGATATTCGTATTTGGTTAATTTTTTTACTTGCCGATAAGCAAATTCTGTTAAAAATAAGGGATATTTTCGTTCTTTAATCTATTTTTTGTTTTTTTTATCGAATCAAAAACCATAGGGACCAAAATCATAAAATCAATTTTTATTGAAAAGACAAAAAAATTTGAAAATTGAACAAAAATACCCCCTCGTTTAATGAAATCTAATGGTTGTTAGAGGGAACGATCAAAATTGGACGTTTTTGCAAAACATGATGACCATCTTGTAATTTTAGAAATTGCAAATAGTTTACCTGTTTTTACTCTTTTAGTTCCTCTTATCATATGTATTTGGGTGTGTAAAAAGCTCCTACCAATATATTACAAAATTTTATATATTCTTTGGTATTTGATGGAAATCAAATAAACAACATATTATAATAATTGTAAAATCCTCTCTGACGTGTAGATCAGTTGACAAAAGGGTAGAGAGACTTTTGCCAAATACAAGAGAGGTCATGGGTTCAATCCCAGACTCTCCTGCTAACCCGAGCCGTTGTGTGAGTCAAAAAATGCCTTCACATTAGTGATCTCGGAGGGGGGTTTCGTGTAAAACTTATTGGAGTTGCCGTTAATCAACTTTTTACCTAAATAATAATTGTAAATCATATAATATGAAAACAATCATACGACTTTCCAATAGCGAGAAACAAGCCTTTTAGGGTAGCCGAACTTAATGAGAAGTGGAACAGATAAAATTTTAACATAGTGGATTAAACTTACCTACCTAGGAGATAAAAATTTACAACGGCCCTGACTCCAAAAAGCTCCTATAAGCCTCTGTCACATTTCTATATTCAAATCAGACAAATGAATTAAATGTGTTAGTTTAAAGGGTTGTTTGTTTACTTTTTTAATAGGCCCATTAAGAGACAACCTCCAAGTCGTTAAGAGTTGAATCTTGTTTGGCAAAAAAAAATCTGTATCTTAATCATTCTAAAACCCTTTGAATTATTTTGTATCTCACGCATCCTTTAATCATTCAGCGCCCTAATTTCATTGTAAACAATTACCAAACAATTATATTTCATTTTGCAGTATATCATGAGAGTCTCTTAATCATTCTGCATCAAACCATTCAGCAATTAACAAACAACCCCTAAGATCATCAAAATCCTTCATAATCTATCATTGAGTAAAATACATTTTTAGTCCTCGTTATAGTTCACTTCAAGGGTTTTCGTCCGTTCAATTAGAAATGTCAGTTTCACCATCGTAAATTATAAAATCGTTCAAAAGTGATCGTCAACTTTCGGCCATTGTGGTTTGCAGTGTGGCACTTTTAGATACATACATAATTATCTCAAAATAAATTAACAGCAACGAGCTTTCCACTGAACGGTTCCTGGATAATAATATGATGGATTAAAACAAAATTGAACTATAAACTATATAAACAAAAAAACACGATAAATTTTCAATCATAAAGAAAATAACGACTATAATTTATAAACTACAAAAATAAAATCATAACCCTAAAATCATAAAAACGAAAATAACAATATTTATATTTATTTAAAAAATTAAATTTGAAATGATTAATAATTCAATTTTACAAAGTGTGTACGTTAATTATAAACAAAAGGTGAGCACGTGTATACCGGGCCGATGAGGTAATTGTGGGCCCACTTCGCCATCAACGAAAGCGTAGAAGACAAAAAACAAAACCAAAAACACTTGAACAAATTCTATATCCCTTATTTTAACATCCTAATTAATGTTGAATTGCTCCATTGGGGGGTTTTGATTTTTCCAAAATTCATGAATTTACTCGTAATTTTCATCATCAGCGGCTTTTCAATGTCTTTGAAGACTGGGTGTTTCAGGTTCTGTCGCTTTGTTCTTTAGCAAATTTCCCTTTTTGATTCTTTTATATTATAAACCCCACTTGAAAAAGTACATAGATCTCTGTGTAATCTCCTCCTTTTTTTAATTCAATGACTATTCTGGTATTTGTTTGATGATTCAACCCTTTTGGAGCTTTGAATGAGATGTGAAATCACTTTGAATTTTGGGTCGTGTGGCATTTGATTATTGTTATTATTATGCTCTGTTTATGATTTTTATTATGATGGTGATGAGTCTTTTGACCGTAGAAAAGAAAGAGAAAAACCGGTTAAAGTGAAAAGGACTCGCCATTAGAGGAGAGAGAACCATGTTTTTTTGCGGTGTGAAATGGAAGAGAGAAATCTGTTCCATGTAACGTGCCCTTGAGGAGGTGATTTTCGTTTCGTCACAAGGGGTTTTTGTGTTGTTGCATACCAAGTGTTCGTGAAAATGCCTGTGTTTTCATCGAGGATAGATGGGGCTGACGGGCAAGTTCTAGATCTAGACACTGCTGTTAAAGATGGGCTTTTGGGCGGTGGCGGAGGAGTGGGTTTTGGTGGTGGTTTTGCTGAGAAACTGGATCTGAAAAAGATGATTGAAGAGTTAAACTTGCCGGAGATTCCATCGGTGTTCATTTGCCCAATTTCCCTTGAGCCGATGGAAGACCCCGTTACCCTTTGCACCGGCCAAACCTACGAGCGATCCAACATCTTGAAATGGTTCAGTTTAGGTCATTTCACTTGCCCAACTACTATGCAAGAACTCTGGGATGATTCTCTTACCCCAAACAACACCCTTCACAGATTAGTTCACACTTGGTTTTCCCAAAAATACTTCCAAATGAAGAAGAAATCGGAAGATGTTTCAGGAATGGCATCTGAGATTTTAGACACCCTTAAGAAGGTTAAGGGCCAGGCTCGTGTTTTATCGCTCAAGGAGCTCCGGCGAGTTGTCACGGCTCACGCCATCACTAGAAAAACAGTGGTTGACAATGGTGGGGTGAGTCTTCTTTCATCATTATTGGGTCCTTACACATCTCATGCCATTGGTTCTGAGGTAGTTTCGATTCTTGTTCATTTGAAATTAGATTCATCTTCGAGATTGAATCTGATGCAGCCAGCCAAGATATCGCTAATGGTGGACATGTTAAACGAAGGTTCCATAGAGACGAAGATCAATTGTACCCGATTAATCGAACTTTTGATGGAAGAAGAGAATTTCCAAGTGGAAATCGTGTCAAGCCACAGTCTACTGGTTGCTTTGATGAAAATGGTAAGAGATAAAAGGCTCCCAAATGGGAATTTGCCAGGGCTTAGCCTACTCAAATCYATATGCTTACACAAACAAGTTAGATTCTTGATTGTTAGCATTGGTGCTATTCCTCAATTGGTCGAATTATTGCCCGAATTGAATCCTAATTGTTTGGAATTAGCCCTTTTCATATTGGACACTCTTTCAACCATAAGAGAAGGTAAACTGGCTTTGAGTAATTGTTCGAAAACCATACCGAATATGGTAAGAGTTTTGATGAGGGTTTCAGAAAACTGTACACAACATGCTTTATCCATCTTATGGTCTGTTTGCAAGCTTTCACCTCAGGAGTATTCATTGATTGCTGTAGATGTGGGTCTTGCAGCAAAGCTTCTTCTTGTCATTCAAAGTGGTTGTAATCCATCTCTAAAGCAGCAATCAGCAGAGCTCTTGAAGTTATGCAGCTTAAATTATTCAGATTCAATTTTCATTTCAAAGTGCAAGCTTACAAGAACCATCCAGTGAAAGGGGGGATAAACCCTAATGATGGATTCCAAGATTGAACCTAAAGCTGCCGGACTCGCGTGTATAGCCGATTAATTCTATTCCCAGGTACTTTTTCAAGATTTCTTGATATAGGCAGAAGCAAAGATGAAGTCTTTACAGAAAAACCCTAATGTTCTCTTTCTTTTTGGTGGTTTCTGTTAAAGATTTTGAGCAAAAAAAGGTCGTCTTTTTAATCTCTTTGCTTCGAAACGAAAATGGTGGGATTTGTAATGGGATTAGAAACCAAAAGATGGTGGTTCATGGTGGTTTAGGGAGAGGTGAAATTGTTAACAACCATTTTGGGTTTTGCAATCACAATTGTGACTGTTCATTGCCAATTGAGTTTCTTGATTCTGTTTTTTGAAACTATGTTTACATATTAGGTGTTGGTGATTGCATATGGTTAGTAAGTTGGTGGTTTTTGGACACAGTGATTGATTCTTGAGATGACATAAGTATTGCCATTTGTAGAATTGACCAAAGAGACAGGCCAAGAAGGTTATTGAATTTGTGGAGAAATAGAGAGACTATTTCCTTTGATTTTACTTGGTAAAATACCATCATCTAATCCCTTACCTTTTTTTTATTAACCTGGATATCCAACCCACTATGCTAGCCGACTAATCACATGGCAACCAACTGCTTTGCAGATAGCCCGGAGTCACCACATTTGAACCTCTGTGGCCACAAGGGGATTTTTATTCCTCCTTGGATTTGAACCCGGGATCTCCAGGTACTTTTGACCTTTGGAGCCAAATTCAAACCAATCAGACACCACCCTTGTGGTTAATCCCTTACCTTTTACACCATAGACGCTAGAAGATTGGACCGACTGGTTTGTGACCGAAGTCTACTCCACCGATTTTTTGTTATTCACTGATATCTCGTATTTTGAATTTTCCTAAAAATAGATTTTTTGGCAAAACTGAACTATTCCTTCATCAACAACAATTGTAGACAATAGATTAGATTGACTACGACAGATAAGGTTTCTTAATTGTATCATATCAAGATGTATTTTAGGTATTTAATCACTACTTATTGTAGAACAATGGAGCATTATATAAGAATGCAACAAAGCCGAATAAGATGCAATCAAAAAATTCCCAAATTACCCTCTGTCACGAAAAATTGCGACAATTTCAATTTTAAGTTGTCAAAAAAATACATTGTTTTTGTTTTGAATATAATTTTTCTTTCATGTTTATTTATTTATTTATTCACTAGCAATCTTAATAATATACTGGTGAGATTAATTATCGTATTAATGTTATTTTATCGGCCTTTTTAATAAACAGTTATCGGCTAAGTGCTTAATGATACCACTTTAGCAATTGTGGAATTGAGAAGCTTACCCATTATTTACTATTTTGGTCCATTGTATTTGAAAGGTAGGAATTGGTTGTACAAAAATAACAATAAATTACAAACTATAGAGACGAAAATCATAAATTCTAATATATAGGGACAAAAATCAACATTATTAACAAACCTCATAGGTATATTTATCTGATGAAAAGGGTATTTTCGTATTAAACCAGTATTTTGGGCTGCTAGTGCACTGCTTTTTGATTGGGATATTTAGTATTATTATGAAATGGGCCAATTGGCCCAGTTTTAAAAAAGGGCCGCCAATAGGTTTCCGAACCCACGAGCCCAAAAAGGGACTTAAATTGTTTCGAAAAATAAAAGTGGGTTATCCAAATTTTTAATTGAATTTACTTATACCAAATAGGGTAATAAGAGCATTATATTATCTACAGTAAACTACAAATTTGGTACATATGTTTTGCCCCTACAGTTTTAAAATTATAGGATTATTATCGTGGTCTGTAAAAATGTTTGGATTTGGTTATTTCTTTTAATTTAAAAAAATTCCCCTAAATAAGGGGTATTTTGGTACTTTTATAAAAAAATCGTCTCTTATCCAGTCAAAAACGTTTTGATCTGATCATTCCCTCTAACGACCGTTAAAATTTCATTAAATAAGGGATATTTTTTGTTCAATTATCAATTTTTTCATCTTTTCAATAAAAATGATAAGGATTTAATTCCAAAGCTAAAAACAATAGTTTTCAAACGAGCAACTGAAAAGATTCTATAGCATCCCCAGGAGTCGGTATTCGAAAAAAATACTTGTGAATTAAAAAATTATTGTTTTAACATTTTCAGACAAATTTATTTAATATTTTTAACATATTTTGTTGGTTTTTTGAACAATTTCCTTTTCTTGAATTACAAACTGCTCTTTACCGAATAAATTATACAAATTATTATTTAAATGTACTCTAATTTTAATTAATAAATATATTTGTTTACAAAAAAAATCGGACTTTCTTACATTCTAATGTTGATGGTTAAGGAACTCATTTGTATCGTATGCTGTTGTTTTCTTCTTTTTCCAAAAAATTTATAGTTTTATCAGTGTTTTTATCTATTTTCTCTTATTTTCTTAATAACTTATTCATTATATCCATCACCTATCGTCATCAGTATCATTCCATCTCTATTCCCATTGTTACATTTATAAATCAATCGTAATTGTGGCGATTTTAGAAATTCTAAAAATGAGTTCGAAATTTAAATAACATGATAAAAAAATAAAAAAATTAATTTTTATTTAAGCAATGTCGGGTCAAACCTTGTTTTGAAGGGGGTTAAAAGAAGTATATTTTAATTAAAAATAATAATTTTTTTATTAAAAAGGTTACCCCATTAAAGGGGTGCTGAATTAGAGGTATTTGATAGTAATTAATTAAAATAAAAATAAAAAAAATTATTTGATTTTATATAATATAATGAGTTCATTCATTTAAAAGTTAAAATTTTGATTTCAGGTTAAATTTGTTAGTAGAAATCAGAGTAAATAATAAAGCAAAGAAAATTGAAGAGTATTTTTAACATATTTTTTATTTTTATTTTAAATAGAGGATTAAAACTCAAAATCTTCAGATATTATTTTTTTACTTCAACATATGTTTTTTTATTTTTATTTTTAGATTACATAATTAATATATTATTAAAAATATTATGTATTTTTAATAATATATTGTTTTTCTCAAAAAATATTTAATTTTGAAAAAAAAAAGTTATTGGTGAAATATAATAGTAAAAAGTAGTTAATTCTTGGAGAGTTTACAAATATGAAATCTTTCACAATCTTTCTCCTATTTATTCGTTTTTGTTGAAAAATTAGAATTAGTTGGGACAAAAACGTTACACGAAATCCTTATTTTTCTCTATTTTGGAGAATTTATTGAAAATATACTTCAAGGCCTTAAATTATATTTTATTTATTATAAAAGTTATTGTTAGTCTACAACTTTGAATCTATAAATACGGTGTTTAAACCTGCTCAAGTCATGTTGGATTATCACCAAACTTCTTACGGTGCCTTTCAAACACAAACAAAAACCAATATGAGTGATAAAATGAGTTTTTGGACCGAGGTTTTATGGGGCTCCCGTTCGACCGATATGCCTAGGGATACCCTTAGGTCCCGTTTGATTTGTTGGAATGGAATGAATTTGAGGGGATTTGGATTTCAAATCCATTTTAATCACATGTTTGGTTTGTTAGATTGTCTGGATTTAAAATCCTAAGATTAAATTGGAATCTTATAAACATAGGATTTTCAAATCCTTAGGGGCTGCTTGGGATTTCGCAGGATTTCATAGAATTATATAAGATAAGGTTCTAAAAATGTTAAATAACATTTGTTCTGTAATAATCGGTTAATAAAAATGTAATTTAATTATTTTTATTATCATTTATAATTTTTTTTAATAAATAATGGAATTGAATTCCATTCCAAATTCTACAAACCAAACACACAAATAATTGCAAATCCATTTCAATCCAAATCCACATCCCTTCATGAAATCCAAATCCCTCAAAAGTAATCTTTGCAAACCAAACGGACCTTTAGAATTTTCTCGTTCGTTCTGACCGTGCCGGATTGCCAAGAAATTTTACGTGGGTCATCTGCAATGTTAATGAGAGTTTTTGCACTAGAAAGATTTCAAAAAAAAAAAAAAAAACCTGTTCTCTTGTCGGAAATTGTCGAGCTCAAGTGGTCGAACCAAATGAACGCATGTCGTGCAGGTTGTCGAAACCCACTCAAATCATGTCGGGTTACCACCAGACTTCTTACGAGGTCTTTTCAAACACAAACAAAAGCCGATACTACTGAGAAAATGAGTTTTGAGGCCGATTTTTTTCGAGGCACCCTTTCGGCCGATACGCCAAGGGGATACCTTTGGAATTTTCTCGCTTGGTTCGACCTTGTCGGATTGCCACAAAATTTTGGTTTGGCCATATGCAATGTTAATGAGAATTTTTGTAACAGAAAGATCTTGAAAAAAACCGCTCTAATGAGGGAAATTGTTGGGACCACGCATAGGCCGAACTGAACGAACGTGTGTCATGCAGCTTGTCGAAATTCGCTCAAATCATGTCGGATTGCCACCAACTTCTTACCTAGTATTTCTAACACAAACAAAAGTAGATCCGATAGAGAATGAGTTTTCAGGCTGATGTTTTATTGAGAGGTAGTCTTCGAAATCTTATTTGACAAAAATATTTGTCTCTTAATGATTCTAAAACTCTTTAACTGATTTTCAGAGCCCTAACTTCATTTTGAAAAATTACCAAACAACTATATTTCATATTGTACAACATTATAAAAAATCTGTTAATCATTCTGACCATTTAATCACTTTGTACTAGACCATTCAGAATAAATGAAACTAAGAGCAAATAAATTGATCCAAATTTCTGCCTCGGATTATAAAAAGAGTAAACTACAAATTTAGTTCACATGGTCATCGTAGTTGAAATTAGAAAATGGCCACCGTGGCTTACAAAAACCTGTGGATTTTGTCCCTACTTTTAACTGACATTAAAAGATTTCGTTAAATGAGATGCATTTATGTTCTCTTATTAATTTTTTTAATCTTTTTATACAATCAAAATTGATTTTATGATTTTGGATTCTATAGTTTTTGATTGCATAAAAGACAATTTTTTATAAAAAGACGAAATTAACTAACATAATTCTTACAACCGTGAGAAGAATGAATCAAATCCAAACATTTTGCCAAACCACGAGGGCTATTTTTGTAATTTCAAAACTATATGGACAAAAACTGTTATTTTTGACAAGCTAGTTAGACCAAATTCGTTGTTTACTCTAAAAATTGACAATATCACATTTTCGGCCCTCCAAATTATAATGTTTATGCTCAACACGTAAGAGTATCTGCAATAATTATGTTATTTTAAAAATTTTAAAAAGTAGAAAAAAGTTTGTTCCAACGGTTATATTAAATATTCTTTTAAAAATAAGAAGAGATAATTAAGAAATG